GTGCTTGGGCAAATTGTATGTGTGTATATATGTTGAAACATATATAATATATGTGGCAATGAGAGCTTAAAGTCTTTTCACGGGGTATTATTTATATATTATTTTTAGGTATTTAGATTTAAATATTTTTATAATTTTATTGATTTCATTATATTTCATTAAATTTATCATTATTAGTTTTATTATAATTATTATTATTATTATAGTTATAATTATAATTATAATAATAATAATAATAATAATTATTATTATTATTATTATTATTATTATTATTATTATTATTATTATTATTATTATTATTATCATTATCATTATTTTTTTAATATTGTCATTGTCATTGTCATTGTCATTGTCATTGTCATTGTCATTGTCATTGTCATTGTCATTGTCATTGTCATTGTCATTGTCATTGTCATTGTCATTGTCATTGTCATTGTCATTGTCATTGTCATTGTCATTGTCATTGTCATAGTCATTGTCATTGTCATACAAAACACAATAAATAATTATGGTTTCGCCTAAAATCAAAGGCAAACTCGTGCTGAGTTTCTTGCCAAGAAAATAGTAAAAACTTTTTTCCATTTGATTTTGCAATCAAAGTAATGTGTCTTTGGGCAGGACAAAGATCTTTGGAAGCACTTTTCACATGGCTAGGGAAGAGGCAAAGTGAAGACAAGTTCGTTTTATATGTTCAACAGGTTCCTTCGCTTGCGGTTTTGTGTGGCCAAAAGCTGTTTGAGGCATTGCGCAAAAGTGCAGAGAAATTGCCGCTAACTAATTGCGGCTACGCCGAAATTCTTCAATGAGCCGTTGGTGGTTGGTTGGCGTGTCGGAGGGGGCGAAGGGTACTGAAACGGCGGGCCAGAAGTGGTGCAACTTAAATGAACGAACACAAAAAGGATTTCAATAAATGTCATAAATTTACCAGACGACTTAACAAATTGCAAACTGAATGAGAATGAAAATTGCTATGGAAATGAGAATGGAAACAGAGACGAGAATGGGAATGGGAATGGAGGCGAGTAGTTGCGGTTCACAAAGGAATCATTTTCTTTGTGCCACTTCCCCCACCCAGTTGCACATGCGTCTGTTTGGATTTTTGGTGATTATCGTTCGAGTTGCTGGCGGCTTTTTAAACGCTTTCGTTGCAATAAAAAAAAAAAAAAAAAAAAAAAACAGAATGAAAATCAAAAAGTAGAAAAAGTGTAAAACTTACCAAAAAGTAACAAAAAAAAATTGAAGAAAATAGGGAATGCCGGTAAAAAAAAAAAAAACAAGTATGTTTGCTGCGTTGCATGAAAATGGAAAACCAAAATGAAATTTCCATAAGTAAAAACGGGAATAAGAAATCAACGCATCAAGAGCTGAGAGCAGCCGAGATGAACCGTGTGGCAGAGCGGGCGAGGGGACGAGCGGAGCTGCGGCTGGGCAAAATTCAAAAGCTTTCACTTTTTAGCCAAAAAGAGTCTTCTTTTTTTTGTGTGTCTTCTGGTTTTTCTTTAGGTTCTTTTCATATTATTTTGCTTTTGCGTAATAATGAAATTAAATTGCTGTCCTACACACACACACACACACACACACACACACACACACGAACACACACATACATGCACACATTTACATCTATATACCTAGCAGATACGAAATGTGTGTGCGTATTTTTATCTTTGCCACTTTGCAGCGGTTTTCATATCTGTGGCAATTGCAAAATTGGGGCACAACAAACTGAAGATGTGCTCTGCAAATGCACAACTGGGCAGAGATTGTAATTTGTATAAGAAGAAGAACGAATTCATGCCAGAATATGCACGGTCACAAGTCTGATAACCACGCTCGATATCTCCTCTCTCTACCTCTCTCCCTCTTTCACTCACCATTTCTCGCTCTCTTCCCCTTTCTCTCTCTCTGTCTCTTTCGAGGTGCATGTTTTAAAGAGTATTTTGTCTGTTAGGCAAAATAATAAAACGATTTTTCAATCTGCGGCAGTTGATGGTCGGGAAATTCAATAAAATTTACTCAGACGCAGTTTGTAATATTATTCTTTTAATTTGTAGATTTGTATATTTATTTATGTGCTATAATAAATTACATTACTATATTAAATATTTATAATATATTTATTAATTAGTTCATATACCAATATAAATATTAGGTGGAAGCATCTCCGAACCCATAGTGTGAATATATATCTTGATCAGCATCAATTTAGCCAAGACGATCTGAAATTTTAATGCCCGCGCAGAAAGAGTTTGTTTCCGATAATCGATAGCTTGGCCCCATTTCAAGCAATCGATAGAAATCGATCTCTTAATCACTATCTATCATATACAGTATCTTTGATTTGCCTGCCGTTCCACCTAGCGATAGCTGCATTTGGTATTCGCAGAAGAAGGGCTAGGGTATCCTCTAGTCGGGGATTCTCGACAAGAGGCATTTTACTTGTTTCTGTATATATATTCATATTATGTTTGTATTGTATCGATATTTAAATTTGCCTTAAAGCAATCTCTTGACACTCCTGGAAGGAATGCCATCTCTTTAAGGAAATAAGGTTCAAATGTAAGGACACAACGTTCGAATTTCGGTTGAAAGAAACCGTATTGTATGAACTGATTTACAATCGATTAAAGCTAAATCGAATACAATACAATCGAATAAATCAACAGTTCATTAGACACAAGCATAGGCTCAATTAAATCATTCGAAATGCAGCTCATTAAGGTGCATACCTTGGCCTATTTGAATATGAAACACGGCCTAATCTACCGTTAACAATCGGGTATTAAAGAGCCAACTATTAGCAGTTTCCCCCTAACCCCCTGTTATTGCCCATGAGGCATTGTAATCAATTTTGACGCCCACATTCTTGTTGATTTGCTTATAAACTTGTTGCAAACTTGATATTTATTATTTTAGTTTGCCTTTGTCAAAATATTTGCATTGTATTACAAGTATCTGCATGTTCAACCCAACCCAATTTTATGATTTTATCATTTCTGTTCACTTTTCTTGCGTAGTTTTTGGCCAATGTAGGTCAAGAATTTACATAAATAGCTGCAAATATTTCAACCGCTGGCCAATTTTGGCCCAAGTTGCTTTGCGTTGGACTTCAGCGCAATAAAATTACCAGCGTAATCGGTAAAAAAAAAAAAAAAGAAAAATAAAACTGTTTTTCAAAGCGTAAAAAGTTCTAGCGGTCAAGCGCGAAAATACAAAATGGCGGCTGCGAACTGTAACTATATTCCCAGTACTCTTAAATAAACGCATGAGGCTCAGCTTGGCTTTAACAACTTTAAATAACCTTTGTGCAAGCAAAAGTTGTTGTTAACTAAAGAAGATTTATACAAATATCCCTTTTTTCTGAATCGGTTATTCCACTTGATCACAAATTTGTCTATTCGAATCTGCTAGATTTCAATTGTTGTTATTAAGATGAAAGATGATTTAATACTGCAAGAAGAAACACAAAGCGAGAAAATTCTTATTTGGGAACTGCGTGTGAAGCTATTTGTCACGCATAAATTTCCCGACGTAAACGAACCGCTAATGCAATTAGTTTTTAAACCGATCGCTGATTGGGATTAATATTGGGATATTGGGATATTTATCAATTTGAAGCTTATGGAGTTTTGTATTCAGTGCTCGTTGCGCATACCATATGTTTCCCCTTCGACGCTGCAGGGTATAAAGGCAAATGAAAACAACATGCGACATGAGACAACGCAACGCTGTGCGTGTTAGCCTTGAGCTACATTCGGCAGACAAGACAACAACACGCAAAATTGTACACGTCCATAATGCAAAGTTTGCGGCGAAAAGAAAATGCGGCAAATATAGGGAATTGAGCGTGTGCGAGAAGAACGGCAGTAGACTGGGCAGAACGAAACCTTCGTCAAAGTTGCCGTTATCAATATGTTGTTGCTATTTGTTGTTGCCTGTTCTTATTGGCATGAGCAGCAACAACAACAACAAGCAAACAAATAATAACAATAACAAATGTACACACACAAACACACACACACACACACACACACACACACAGAAATACATGCAGCAACATAATTTTTGTGAGAGCAGCTGTGCTGTGCGCTGCCTTGTGCCTTGTTGTTTTCTGCAAAGGAAAGTGGAACAGGAAAAGCAGAAGAAGGAAGAAGAATGTGTGTAGTTAAGCGACGAAGTGTGGTTGAGGGGGCCGTGCGAACGGGCAGCAGCAGAAGTTGATGGCATCTGTTTAATTTTTGCTGTTGTTTTTATTAATGAATTTTTATGCTCCGTGGGCGGCGGCAGAGGCACAGGCAGCGGCAGCGGCAGCGGCAGCGTCTGCTGCTTCTAGCTCTAGCTCTACCTCTACCTCTTAATATACCTCTTCAGCTGCTATCCTCTCTATGCTCAGCTGTTTTTGTTGCTCTTGTTGTGGTCGTCTTTTGGCTGCGTTTGCTTTTTACTTTTGGGCTATGGCTAAAAATATGTCTGCCAATTCGCTAAGTGGCTCAAGTTGTACATATATTTATGAATATGTGTGTGTATGCATGTATTGGCGTATGTATGTATTGACAGAGCTTTTTATATTGTTAACGTACGTATGTATGTGTGTGTGTGTGTGTGTGTGTGTGTGTGTGGGACTTCCATTTGAGTGCAGTCACAATAGCTGCCAAAAACTTCAGCATAAAATATATATGAAAATATTAAGTAGGCAGCATAGTTGGGCCGAATATTAAATACCCTTTTCCACAAGTATTTCAAAAGAAGAATATTATTAATAAAAATGTAATTAATTTTGTTAAAAAATGTCAAAATTTCCTTCAAAGGGACATTTCTGTGTTCGATCGGGTATATACAAATTCTTAGAAAACTAGAAAATTCCAATCAGGAAATCACCAAAAAATAATCTCAACTTAAATTTATAAAAATAAAATTCTATACTTAAATCAACTTAATTAACATTTCAAGCCAAAAGCCCTTTAAATATACTTTAGTAAATTCATTCTTGTTATACATACATGTATATAAACACATGCACGCATGCACTTGGTATTTTTAACGGTGCTTCACTGTATTCAAATGGCTTTTTGTCTTTGCCGCTTGCTTTGGCCAATTTCTAACTGTAATTGCCTTGCAGGGGCTCTCCTTCTGCTTCTTGTTGTTGTCTTTTGTAGTTGTTAATAGCTGTTGCTATTGTTGTTGTTGTTGTTGCTGTTCTTATTGACGTGGCGAACATGTGCGCTATTTTAAATTCGATTTGCACTCTTTTTGGCGCGCACTCAGTTGCCGGCTAACGGCATTGAGTCGCCGACAGTGACACACACTTGCATATTCCTCTCAATACTACATGACACAGCACAGACACAAACATAAAAAAAAATGTGAAAATAATAAAAAAATGTATAATATTTAGTTATTTTGGCTGTAGTTTACTTTGTCGCACTTTTGATTTCGTCTCGCACACGCGACATTCCTCTCAAAAGAAACGGACACAATTCCGACACGCCGCGCGCTACGTGCTTTTCCGTGTCCGTACACGTGGCGAACTCGACGCTTACTGAGGCTGTGGCCGCGCAGCTGCTGCACGACAGAGCGAAATGTACCGCTTGTCGCGTCCGCATCGGTTGCCTGCGTTGACACAATGACTCAGTCAGTGGCGGCCATAGCCCGGAGTCGTCGTCAGGCGCGAGCCACGAGCACAGCATCGCCGAGCCGAGGCACGAGCGGCGCCCGAACTCAAAGCCGAGCGCTGCACGCGATGCCTTTTGAGCTATTTGATGCTGTTATATTTTTGGCAACGTGTCGCTGTGTTGGCGCTCGAGTACATAAAATTTCCCCGTATTCTCGCTATGCAAGCGCATCGCCAATGAGAACGAGCAACAGCAGCATTTGAGCGTTTAAATGAGCAGAAATGCAACTGCGAGCGTGAGTGGCACTCAATTTGAGTGCTTTCAATGCGTTTCGGACTCCATGTTTGGCAGCCTTTTGGCTCATTTCCGTTTCTAGTGCGTAGGACTTCCGCTGTCTTACGGCCAAGGAAGTTGTTGCGACATTCAAGAACGAGCACGAACTCGATTGTGAGAGGATGAGAATGCGAATATCTGCTACTGCCTTAGTGGGGCATATCAAAAAATGTTCTCAGGATCGCACCATTTAACTCAAATGCGAACGAAGTGAAAATCCCAACTGCCGATTTGCCTTTGAGCCATGTTTCAAATGAGATCTTTTCAAATGGGATTTATATCTCGAAAGCAAAACGACCGAGGGATACCCAATTCAATTTAAATGGATGCAAGCATATATAATATAAAGTTTTTTGTGAAAAAATGATATTTTATCAAAAAAAAAACCTGTATACGTATATATATTGATATCCCCAATCGATATTGATACATATCTCATGTCGGGAAAACAATATATTTTATCGAGGAAAACCGTTTGCCCTGCTCCTTGTACCTTAAGTAACAACAAACACATATAAAACGCCGTTTTTAACTAATTTTCCTAAGAATGGGAAAGGTATTAAAAAGGAAATTCTCAATTTATCCCAATATTACTCCCGTAAGGATATAAAATGGGGAAAAGTAATTAAAATCTATTTTTTGACAAATATTAAAACCTATGTTCTTCCAGTTTAAATGTGAATATCCCCCATCGATATTGATGTATGTCCCGCTTTGGGAAAACAAGATATTTTATCAAGAAAAAAACAATTATCCTCCTAAATCTGCGCATCTGACGGACAGATGCTGCTTGGGTCCAGCAAGTTCTCCTGATCCTGATTCTGGAATTCTGTTAATTATATTTTGATTTAAAAGAGTCAATCAGAGTCTTTGTGGGTTATTTCTTACAAAGATTTGATTTACATTTTTAATAATTTTCCCAAATTGGAAACCAAAACGAATACCCTGTAATGCTAATGAAAAGCCTCACGAACGGGCATTTAGGAGGAATCTGATAACGTGTTAATGGAACGATTAAATGAGTATTACATACAATTCTCCGTTTAAATGGGGCAGATTATTTATCTGGAGTCTAAGGGAATACGATGGCAACCGCAGAACATTTAATAAGAATTTCTGCTGTACAAATTCAATTCTATCTTGATGAATGGAACAGGGCGAGGAGCAGGCATTTGAGCCGAACTGAAGCATGGGGCGGGCAGGAGAGATATAAAAAAAGGATTATCTGACTGAAACTAACTCTAAATAAGTCAAATCGGAGTCTGAATGACCGACTGCGCAATACTCTATTGCCAAACAGGTCGCAAGCCAATAGCTCGGCAAAAGTCCGAATGTGACATGTGTGTGTGTGTGTGTGTGTGTGTGTGTGTGTTTGTGTGTTTCACGCCGCCAGCTTCAGGGGCCGCACAATATACTCTTTGACGTTTTATGTACAGGGTAACAAAAGCATTACAGCAATTGAACTTTGGCTGGCATTGCAGTTTCCACGCAGCGCTGCTTGCCCGACGCTTTTCCGGCTCGGTCCGTTGCCAGGCTAGGACCAGAACAGAGCCGAATCTCCCAGGCAACTGAGCAGCTGAAGCGACTGAGTCGCCACCAGCCACAAGCCGCATTGTGCAACAAGAAAAAAAAATGGAAGATGGACGGAAAAAGCGAATGCTTTTTGCAGCAGCAGCAGTAGCAGCAGTAGCAGCAGCAGCCGCAACGATGGCTCGATTGTAGTTTGGACAACAGCAGCAACAACAACAACAACAACAACAACTAAGAACAGCGAGTTGCAACAACAACAACGGTCAAAGGTTGTCACATTCTGCAGCAGCAGCAGCAGCAGCAGCAGCAGCAGCAGCAGCAGCAGCAGCTGTTGCTCGTTTCAATAGGGATTTGGCTTGTTCTTGGCTCTCGCACTTTTACAAAGCTCATCTGCCTCCCGCCTTTCGCCCCACCCCCCATCCACCATGCTTATGCTGTTTCCAGTACATTTATGTCACATTAAATATTCGAGTGAGTTTCCCCCGCTAGATTATATTTGGAATGCCTCCGAGTGTGATTAGGGACAATCGAAGGGGCAGCAAAACAATAATAATAACAATCAACAGCAACAATCACAATGGCTGCAACGATGCATATTGCATTGCAGCTTCATTAAATAGCAACTAAGCAACGTATCTACACACACACACACACACACACACACACCTGCTCAATTAAGGGCATTTTGCGTCGAGCTGCAGATTAATAAACGCTTGTGTGCAAAATATTCTCGAAAATTATTAATTAATCCATAAGATACTTTACTAACTTGCATTGCAGCCATACAACTCGGCTCCAATCAGAGCACACACCCACACACACTCACACACACACACACACACACGCGCGCACAGACACAATTGTTGCCCTGACAAAGGACTCCGACATACCCTTGTACTCGATTGGTCACTCGAGAACGAATACTTACTATCGAGTAATTATGCCCTAAACGCAACAAAATTAGGCAATAGGGTATAACAAGCTTCAAAGAAAAGGTGCGTTAAATCATATGTACACAACTGACTGATTGACTGACTGCTTGATTGATTGATGCGTGACACACAGCCCAAATCATAAGAGCTTAATTCACTTACAGCGGTTTTTAATAATTCCACTCGCAAGTGTGGAAAAATGTGTGGAAAGCATTGATACATACATAGAAGAACCATCGACTCCAAGCTCATGACAGTTTTACTGTTGCTGCCTTACTTTAAATTCTTGGATAATTCCATTCGCACGTGTGGAAAATAGGTTGGACTAATATAAGTTCTTTTTTTTCAAGATATATTGAACTAATATATCAGACAAGTTCTCTATTTTTCAGTATATCTTTACCAAACCCAGCATTGACTAGCTTCAGAATTCTCTTCGCTTATCTGCAAGGCTAAACGCCAGCTAACCTCAGTGGAATTTCAACCTTGGCATTTTATTGCGAGCTCTGTACAGGTTATTTGCGAGTCGATCAAGTCTGTCTTTTGTGTGGCATTGCCTGCGCAAGGACTCTTGATTAATGAAATATGCTTGAAATGTCAGAATCCAGAGCTGTCAAAGGAAATTCATCTTTCCCGCTACGAAACTGCTTGTTGCTGCCGAAGCTGCTCCACGCCCTGCAGCTGGTTGCACTTCCAAATATGACACGAATTGTTTGAATTCAAGGGAAATATAATTTTTAGATATATAAATCAAGCCAATGCGTACATGGCTTTGTTCCTTACAATTCCACCAAACCCTTTAGGACTTCTTGCTAAATGATTTGATTCGTCTAGAGTTGGCTTTCACAACATTCCGAAAATCCACGCCGCCGGGTGAATATTGGACTTTAGTTTCGTTTAATCTTTAAACTTATTGGAAAGGTTATATATATATATATTTATATTTATAAATGCTTTCACTTTTAGCTAAATCCACCCCACTGAGTGGAAAATAGAGGAAAAAAGCTTTTGGTGCTCGGAATTAAATAAAAAAACGTCTTTCATGGATTATAAAACCGTGAGCCATGTCGATAATGTGTTTTTTTTTATATAAATCGAACGACAGCAAAAACCTGTATAGATGTGTGAAATTCACTCATTTGGGTGAAAATATAAATTTAACTTATTAGTACTTTCTACAAAAAATGGAAATTGTGACAAAAGTAATGTCTAGAATTTGAGGGAAATAATTCTTGCAATATCATATCAAAAGTCCTTTAGACCTCTCCTAGTATATTAAATTAAAGGCCAGCAAAATAAACAGCCCTCGTATTGCACATTATGCAAAAACAAAAAACAACAGTCTGGACATAAAATCCGAATGCATTGTAATTTTGCTCGAATGAGAAACAGAATACAAATCAAATTTTCAGATCAAATTATATGCCCATTTATAATGCAAGGCAGGCACGACTCGCCACGCCGAGAAATGGACCTCTGGTGCAGCAATTTCAAGGCTTTCAATCAAACGTTGTTGTTATTTTTTTTTGGACTTTTTTTTTTTTTGTTTTCTGTTTTGCGCATTTCGATTATTTTCGAATGGAGTTCATTATGCAGACATTCGGCTGAAATAGTGTAATCAAGAGCTCCTACAAAATGAATTGTCCCAAACATGGACTAACTAATGCAGGCGTCAGGTACATGTCCTATTCTGTCGGGCGGCGGGGCGGTGAGAGATTGGGGCTCGACAGCTGCTACTGCGGGGCAGGTCGATTCATAATTAAAGGACCCAGAGATAGGGGTGTGTGTCTGGCCACAGAACATGGCTTACGGCTATTAAAACAACAATGACAGTGGCCGCAACAAAAATAATCAAATATACACTGCGGCGGCCACTTGCATTGTTTATACTGTACGCAGCCGCCTCCCCCCCCCTCCCCAGCTACCACACCTGTGCGGCTGCATCAAATTGTAACCGAAAGTCAGTTTTGGGCCATGTTCGAATGCAGCTCGAAACTATTAAAATGCAATGCTGCATGCCACAAATAGACACACATACTACGCGCAGAGCACAACTAAATTTTGATATTGTGCGTTTCAAAAATGTATAACAGGAAGGCGTGAAATACGTGCCGCACAATTGAGGCCCGCAAAACATACCGAATCCAATGCAATCCAATTGCAACTAGTTGCATGAACAGTCCAGCCCGAATGCGGCTAATACAAACATGCCCCCAACATC